AAAAAAAAAAAAAAAAAAAAAAAAAAAAAAAAAAGAAAAAGAAAAAAAAGAGAAAAAAAGAAAGAAAAAGAAAATATTTTTAAGATGAATGAATGAAAATGAAAATGAAAATAAAAACATGTAATAAAATTTACAGGATGTAGCTAAGTCCATGCTTAGAGGGAAATGCATAGTTATAATAACTGCCTACATTAAAAAATAAGAAAGACCTGAAAGCTATAACCTAAACTTTCACCCTAAAAAAATAAAAAGAAGCATAAACTAAATGCAAAGCAAGCAGCAGAAGAAAATGATAATGAGTGGAACTAAAATAAATGAAATAGAGAATAGAAAAATAATACAGAAAAACAATGAAATGAATAGTTGATCTTTGAAAAGATAAAAAATATTGACAAACCTGTAATTAGGTTTAACAGAAAAAGAAAGAAGAAAGACTCAACTTACCAAAATCAGTTATGAATGAGGGAACATTACTACTGATATTACAGAAATAAAGAGGATTATAAGGGAATGTTATACACAACTATATGCCAACAAATTAGATACTGTAGATGAAATGGAAAAACTCCTCCAAAGATGGAATTTACTAAATGGGAGTCAAAAAGAAGTAGAAAATCTGAATAATTATAACAGAAAAAGAATCAAATTAATAATTTTTTAAGTTTGTCATAACAAAAGGTAAAAGTATAGATGGGTACATTAATCAATTCTACTGAACTTTTAAAAAAGAATTAATAGCAAATTCCCATGACTGCTTCCAAAAAGAGAAAAAGAGTATTTTAGCTCATTTTTGAAGTTAGTTTTACTTTGATCTATAAATCAGACAAGAACATTCTAAGAAAACTACAAACCAATTTCCCTAAGTATACAAAAATTCTCAATAAAATTGTAGTAATGTATAAATGCTAGCAATATATAACAATATTTAAAAATGACTAACCACTATAACCAATTTGAATTATTCCAGAAATCAAAGATTGACTAAACATTCCCAAATCAATTAATAAAATGCACCATATCAATACAGAATAAACCACATGATCATCTAAACAGACATTAAAAAGATTTTGATGAAATCCAGTATTTTTTCATGATGAAACTATTAAACAAACTAGAATTGGTAAAAGCTTCCTCAACTTGGTAAAGAACATCTATAAAATACACAGGGTTGACAGTTATCTGCATTAGATAGCACAAAGAATACTACCAAATCATCTTATATACGAAAAATCCTGAAGAATTCAGGAAAAAAAAAAAACCTATCAGAATTAACCAGTGTCTCAACACAGTTTTAGACTGAAAGATCAATCTGCAAAAATAAATTGTATTCCCATGCATCAGCAATGAACAATCTGAAAATAAAATTAAGAAAATAATTCCATTTATAATATCATCAAAAAGAATAAAATACTTAAAAAAACAAAAGAAATGCAAAACTTGTAGGCCAAACTATGAAATAATGTTGAAAGAAATTAAAGAAAACTGAAATAAACAGAAAGCCATCTTATGATCGTGAATTGGAAGACAATAATATTAATATGGCCATATTCCCTAAATTAATCTATAAATTCAATGCAACTATTATTAAAATTCATACTGCTTTATTTTTTGCAACCATTAACATGCTTACCCTGAAATTTACTTGGACATGCAAGGGACCCAGAATAACTTAAATGATCTTGAAATAAAGGACAAAGTTGGAGAACTTACACTTCTCAGTTTCCAAACGTACCACATATCTACGGTAATCAAGACAGTGTGGTAGTGGCATAAGGAGAGACAGATAGAGCAATAGAATAGAAGTGGAAGTTCAGAAGTAAACTCCTACGTTTATGTAAATTGATTTTTCACAAGGGTTCCAAGTCAATTCAATGGGGAAAAAGAAATCTGTTCAAGAATTGGCACTGGCACTACTGGATATTTTCATGTAAAATAAAATGGAATCGAGCCCCTATCTCACACTCCATTCAGAAATTAATTCAAAATGGGTCATAATGTATAAGAACAAAAACTATAAATCTTTTAGAAGAAAACAATAATGATAATTCTTCATTGACCCTGAATTAGGTAATGGCTGCTTAAATATGACACCAAAGTACAAGTATGAAAAGAAAAAAAATAAATTGGACATAATTCAAATTTAAAAACTTTCATTTTCAAAAGACACTACTAATAAAGTGAAAAGACAGCCCATGGAATGGAGGAAAATATTTGCAAGTCCTATATCTCCTAAGAACTTCTGTTCAAGATATACAAAGCATTCTTATAACTCAACAATAAAAATAAAAAATATTCCAATATTTTAAAATGGGCAAATGATTAGAATAGACATTTCTCCAAAGAAAATACATTAATGATCAATAAGCACATTAAAAGATAGTTAACATTTCTAGTCAACAGAGAAATATAAGTCAAAACCACAATGTGATACTACTTCACACTCACTAGGATAACAAAAATCAAAAAGACAAATAATAACAAGTGTTGCCAAAAATGTGAAGAAACTGAAGCCTTAATAGATTGCTAAGAATGTAAAATACTGAAGCCTCTTTGGAATGTTTGACAATTCCTCAAAAAGTTAAACAAAAATTTAACATATGACCCAGTCATCCCTCACATAAGTATATTCCATGAGAAATGAAAATATGTGTACACATAAATATTTGTACTGGGATGTTCATAGCAGTATTCATGATAGCAAAACACTGGAAAACAAACCCAAATGTCCACCTACTGTTACATAGGCAAAATGTGGTATATCTGTACAATGGAATGTTATTTGACAATAAAAATGAATGAATTACTAATACATGTACAACATAGATGAACATTGAAAACATTATGTTAATAAAAAGAAGCCAGTCAAAAGAGCATATATTCTATGATTCCATTTCTATAACATATTCAGGATAGGAAAATCCATATGGTGAGAAAGCAATTTAGTGATTTCTAGGGGCTGCAGGGAAAATGAACGGTGAATGACTGCTAATAGTCACAGTTTCTGTGTGTGATGAAAATGTACTAAAATTAGACAATGGTGATTATTATGCAACTGTGACTATAGTTAAAAAAACATGAATTGTATTCTTTAAATGGATGAATCTTATGGTGTGTAACTTTTATCTAAATAAAACTGTCATAAAAATTATTGAATTGCATGCCATCATTTTATTTCATTTTCTAGAGACAGGGTCTCACTATGTGGCCCAGGCTAAAGTACAATGGCTATTCACAGGCATGGTCATAGTGCACTGTACAAGCCTCAAATTCCTGAACTCAAGCAATTCTCCTGCCTCAGCCTTCCAAGTAGTTGGGACTTCAGGGCCATGCCCAGCTCATCATTTTTTAAGACTGATGGCATATAAGCTCAAGATAGCTTGAAGTGAGTACTGTTTCC